TCTAACCCCTCTCGATCCTTTGCTTTTCATATACACCGTATATCTCTCTGTCCCTTCATAACTTTCGTCCAACTCTGAAAATTACATCCTGTACACTGAATATTACACCACATACAACGGTCAGATTAACGACAAATTCATATCAGTTCTCGCCGTTCAAAATTTTCCCTGGATTTTTGTTACTCTAAAGACAACTGAGAATTCATACACTTTTCCACAGAGTATTTACTTACCGCATTAAAAAAATGCTCTACACTTGCATTTTGAGTTTACTGCTCGTGGTTAATTTAAAAGGAGTCCGGCAGCACACTGGCCTACCTCTTGAACGAAGTGAGTTAATTTTTAATATAATTCCATTTTTGTAGCTATTTCGGGCTCTCTGAATCGACTTAAAATTATTGTTATTGTGAACACTTAATTACATTGGTTTTATATTTTTTTTTTATATTTGAATTTCACAGGACTTCAAGTATCTAGAGAGTTTCTATTTTATAGAACGGTATCGATTAACCAAAGACCGTGCAACTGCGATAGCACTTCGTGTTCCTGTTGTGAGACTGTCACAATTCTTATAAACAGTCTTAGTAGAAAATGTGAGTAATGTAACTATTATTATACTGCTGATTTACTCATATTCTCGACTGTCCTATGCTCTTCTATGATATTTCAAACTCTACATGAATGCATTACCTGTTGCAGTGTGTGCCAATTTTATTTATCAGGCTAAAGGATTAACCATGAATATCAATCTGGATAATGATATGATTAGATCCACCACAATCAATAGTAATACTTTATTCACTGACAGATGTCCATTAATTTATTAAGATTAATTTTATGTGGTTTCATTGGTTTCTCTCGCGCGTCTCTTTTAGATTATCAACCATTCAGAAGCTGCAGTTCTATTCCTGGCAGTGTTTTCTCTTCAGTTTGTATAGACGTGATGGAACTCAATCTTTTTCCAAGGTAAAAGAAGTATACAGATTTCAAGCATTTTTTATATGCTTTGTTTCAACAGGATTCTTTTCTTCCAGATCGATTACTGCCTGTTTACGAATGGATATATTCTCAAAGAAACAAAAGTGGCAAGTTAATTACAACTGTATGAGCATATCAACGATTCCGTCTGCAGGGAATACTAGTAGTACAGTCTTGAATGGTACTACTGGAATTACTGGACCTACAACCTCAATAGAATCAGACGTAAATGAAATGCCTATGGGACAACCATCTCAACTAGTACAACCAGGGCAACCAGGGCAACCAGGGCAACCGGGACAACCGGGACAACCGGGACAACCAGCTCAACTCGTACAACCAGGGCAGCCGGGACAAATGCCAGTAGGAATTATTGGACAGAATACCCGTGAACCAATGAAACAGCAAGGCCAAGTGCAATTAGAATCATCGACACGAACAAGACAAATACGATCAGCTATAGCTAAGCAGATAGCTCCGACACAATATAGTAAATTACTTATAGAGCGCTCAGGAATCCCCGTTTTGTTGACATCAAGGATCTCCTCGCTATCCAATCCCTATTTCTTCGAGAGCAAACGATTCTGTCAGGATAAAAAAACAGCTTCTATGCGAATGCAAGTTCTACTCCGCAAGAGACGTAATGGTATTCCCAAAATTTATGTAAGATCTTTTTTGAAGGGCATACCGATCCAGAAAATTACCCCGATGTCAATCACCATTGATACTAAATTAAAAATGGCAGGCATAGTTAACGGAAATATTGCATCAATTCCTATGCCAACACAAGGAATCGGAAATTCCATAGGTTCTGGCATTAGTGTAAACAACAGTACTATTGCAGCAACTGAAATCAGCAATTTTCCAATTCCTGCAGCTGCGACGAAACAATCCGTTACTACATTCATTCCCATTTCTATTCCGATTCCCATCATTAATCCAGAAAGTAATAGAGACAATAGTTCGAAATATTTTCCCAGCAGAACACCACCAGCAGTTGGATTAGGTCTTAAAATGAGCTCTAGCAGTGATGCTGCAAAGGAGGTTGAAGAATTGGAAGGAACCATTTCTCAAATACCACATGGACCAAATAGCAAATTCCAACACACTACTGACACTTCCATTGTATTCCCAGAATGAAGGATATAAAAAAAAGTCAATGTAATTTCATTAAAAAATTCAATCATATATTGTGAATATATTATATACATTTTAGCGTTTCCGTTGATATTTCCATTTGTAAATGGGTGCAGAATCCTTAGTGGCTTGTTTTATTACCTTTGGTTTCACTACTTTCTTATCCTGTAGTGCTTGCTGAAGTTCAAGCTTCTGATGCACAATTGTGAGTTCACGTTCTCGATTTACACGTTTTTGAAGCTCTTTGTAAGCCATATGTTTCTGCTGTTCGATCTTTACTAAAGTAGAATCATTGATAGTTGGCATTTTCAATTTCTTAAGACTATCTACCTTCAACCTATTTGTTCGTCGTCCTAGTAAAGCTGGATGAGTATTGAGTTTCTCAGCAACATTAAAGGTTTTTACTTCATCCAAATCTTCAATGAAGAAAACATGATTATTTTTTATCTCATTGGCTGCATCAATCATGTGCAATTGGCTTTGCAGCTTCTCTATCTTTCTAGCTTCACAATTGCGTTTGTATGATACATATTTTAAATCCTGCGTTTTCATTAATTTGATCTGATCGGATGTGTGCTCTTGAGACTTCTCCTTCTCACGATGAACACCTTTCTCTACTTTTGAGTTGATCATGTGAAAATGAAATTCATCGGGATTCCTGTTAAGAGCACGCCTCCTCAGTAAAGTAAGGGTGGCCTGTTTCTCATGATAATCCTTAGCCCTGGCTATGTAGTCCTTTCTCTTTTCTAGAATACCAAGATGCTTTCGAGATTCAGGCTGATGACGTTCCCTGTGTGTCTTTTGGGTAGCCTTTGATGCTTTCTTCCATGAGGACATGCTGATATTGTGTACTTTAATTAATGTACAAGCTAAAGAGGTAAACAATTAAAATCATACATATGACAATATCGAGTTTTAATCAATACTTACAACAATGCTAGACAATTTTCAAAAGATGTTCTCTTGCGTTAATGTACAAATAAACATATATTCAGTTAACCTATTCTGAAGTTGATGTAGTAAGTTGAAATACTACACTAAAGAATTCTTCATTTACTCCAAAAGGCATTATGGTCAACTGACGTCAGTACACAAGCGTCTGGCTATACAAAATGGCCGTTGTGCCTTGATTGTTCAGTAGAAAGTCTTGTTAGAAGGAAGTATTTCCTCATGAAAGCAAATAAGAAAACGGTGTAAAAGTGATTACAATGGATATATAGAACCTCCTGGATGATCGGTAGATATTTACATCACGTTAAACGTCATTAGTGACTCCTAAATTCAAAAGGCCGTTCGATCTGTCAATACGGCATTCCCTGGCAACAAGTGTCGTTCTACACTTTCAAAAACAATGCGACGCTCTACACCTTGTTTGCTCCGCCGGATAATAATTAACTTCATCAGTAACACGTTGCTTCATACCTAGCGATCGTGTACTATGTGATTGCACAATACGGTTCTTTATATTTGGTGGTATTGCTATTTCAGGTGGTGGACATTCCTATGAGTCCTTTTAACTGTGTGTGTCTGTAGGCTGAGATTTTCCTGAAGAGAAATATTTTATGTGTTTTTCGTATACTCCCAGGAGGTTGAGAATATGGAGAAAAGACATGAGGGCCTTGCGCCATTCTCCTCTGGTGAGTTTTACATTTCCTAATAAGTCTACTTCGATGTACCATAATATTTATAATATTTATCTGAATCATGGAAAGTCTATTATTATGCAGAGATACGTGCCATTCAATTTAGTCTGTAGCATCTCTTTATTGTTAAATTGTGTATGTTCAATATTCAGACATTAATGGTTATTGCTTCATATTATTCTATTATAAATATTCTGTATAAAACAGGTGGAGCAATGCAAATGCATTAAATATTTATTGAATTACCTTTATGCATGTGACCTTGATTATCAAATATTTGTTTCAACCTACGTTCTTTTACTATTGATCTAGTGGCATTATTTTTCTTTCAGTTTGTAGATACTCATTCACTGGAAATGAAATTTAAATGAGTATTCTAGGTAAATTGTGGTATTGCATCTTGAATCTGATCTATGAAATCCGCGATTTAGTTTTCCAATGGGGTAGTTCTAGTATTGCAAATAACTCTAGTTCCAATAATACCAATATCAGGTTGATAAAATCAGAAATAGCAGTGACCCTGAACAGGAAATACGTGCCGTTCTCAACGCTATCCAATGAACAAGGATCTCATTTTCCAGCACCTTTGCACTATAGAGCACCTACTCTAACTACAAAACACTACTTCTTATTAAAAAGTATACGACAAGTTCAGTGAAACGGCGATCAAACATCTTTCTGAATCGATATCTAATGACACTCAGCAACGTGGGCGCGATACGCAAAATCGAAACTACTTGTGAAAAGTACGTGAAAATCAGTAACAAGATGATCCAGGCTCGCAACTGTATTCACTCCATAGGAATACAACTGAAGAGCAAAATCTCGTGCAATCAGCCGCTGAATAAAGCTCTGACAAAAAATTTTAAATGGGCAAAGAGAGAAAATGAATTTATTTATTACACACTCCAGAACAAGTCCTTTTTAAGCGGAGACCAAATATTACAATAATAAGCATATTATAAAACAAATATAAACTATTAGAATTCTAAATAAGGTTAAATTGCAATTATGGTTATATAATATTAAAGATAATTGATCTAGTCTAGTAACCTATCAGTTGTAATATTTTGTGCCTATGAAACGGTACAGTTTGGTCTTAAATCTTGTCCCAATCACAAAATAATTCCCAAAGGGTGAGAAATGAATGCATAGAGGTCATATCACGCGACACCAATTTCCCAATCGCTTACTTTGACTATAATACCCAGTGGTGGCAAGAGAGTGATACTGCGACAGCGAGAGAAAGACAATGAAGAGATCGAGGGTTGACCTTGCACGAGTGCACACGAGGTCTTTGGAAAAGCGACACGGTGCACACGGCTAGAGGCCAGAAGGGGTAGCAGAGAACGTTGGTATAGAGGGATGATCAGTACATCACAGCGTAGTAGGGGATACGACGAGAAGGCGGCTAACAGTCAGAGGAAGGGAGAGTGAAGGCAGCTTTAGCTGCCAAGGGTACTATTCCTGGGAGGGCGAAAGCTCCCAACATTACCCACTCCTGGGTGGGGTTGTGCATCCCCACTAACGAGACTGCTAGGAGTATAAGAGAGCCCTCCCGGTAGAGATCGCTGCTAAACGGTGATTGGAACGTCAGTCCAGTGGGAGCACGCCAGTCTGCTGTGAATAAGGGTAGCTTACGCGCGCTTCTGTGGATCAATTGGCGTGCAGCAGTCCGCGCGCTGACTCAAGTTTGAACCGACGGCGACTCACCGGACACGCGACTGAGGGCGATCTCGACGAAGGTAGCTGACAGCCGCAGTCCTTAACCATTTGCACAAATCACAGTTCACACCTTCAACATTTTGCGGCCTTTAAGGCGTATAACACTCGAACGGTTGACGTTACTAAATTCAGTAAACAAACTCGTCTTGATATCGAATATTAACACTGTTCGGGAACTCATGATAAACTAACGCAGAGAGTAAATCAGTAACTTGTATCTTTGTATCCTTATACACCATCTACACACTTATACTTGGTTACGTGTCCAGATCCCGCTCTCTTGATTTTTCGCGGGTGGATGAAACACGTTAATTTACTTTTTCCTATTTTTAAACTCCAACTAACTTTCTTCGGACATAATTCTCAGGAAATTTTGCTCGAGGGTTTTGCATTCATCTCTGCGTTACTTTGAGAGCGGTCTCTCTGTGCTTTTTGTTTTTTCTTGATGTTGACGGAGTAAAGTAAAAGTTTAAAATTATTAGCATATTTGCAAACTGCGAGTTAGAAAATTCATCTACGGGTATAGTAAAAATCTGTTTTCTCATGAAAAAGCGATATTTGCAATTTTCCATTTTCCAATTTTCCCTTGTCCCTTTGTGTGTTTCGTAACAAGCTTCCTCATACCGTCGGCTCTCTTACAGCCGTGTTGGACGAAGGGGTTGATGGAAATTTCATGGGGGTTGCGTTTGACGCGTTTTATTGCATTGGCTCTTGATTGGCGCGGGATTGTTTAACGAGGGCGAGAACATTCGCTTTTGGGAGTTAATGGAAGCTCCGGGTGTTTGCTGATGTCTACCTGAAATGGTTAATCAAACTTTCCAATAGGGGTGCACGAGGCCGTAAGCTAAATGGCGATGGGAAACTATCGGATATCATCAAGGGATCAAGGACGTGCTCATGGAATTGAAATTTGTCTTTTGGGGATTTCCTCAGTAGCTGACCTCATTCTAGGATCCTCCAGAAATTCGACTTTGATTTTTTCCCTTCTATTTTTCTCGGTGTTTCAGCTAGTTCGGTCCTCTATTTGCATCCATCAGCCTGTTGCCCGTCCATTGCGCATCACATTCATATACCTGCATTTTTCATGTCATCCTTAACGTCTAGTCTTACCTTATCCAAAATCATGATTTACTCCGCAAATCTTCATCCCCGCAGTAGTTTAAACTCATACCCACCCGTGACGATAGAACGCACTATGTATTCCCATACATCTCAGGAAGAGAATCGACACACGTCGAACAATTCGACCTGGTTTCCCGCGACGTAAACGTCCCATCCCAGTCCAGATGTCATTCGTAGATTGTTTTCTCAATCGAGCCTAGTTTCTCTCTTGTTTTCAATTCCTGTAGGAACACAGGAGGTTTTCCTATGTCATGAAATTCCCAAACTCCTATCATATCCTGGTTCCTTATCTCCCTGTCAGTGGCAAACCAGGTATACGTTGAGATATAGATCTGACATGTTTGCCCGTAATGTCTGAATTTAATTGAGTTTTATGCCTCCTCATAACTCGGTGGCAGAATCGAGTTTCCCTATACGAAACCTGATCTATCTTTCTTTAGACTATTTTCCTCACTATTACCCAGCATTGACTTCTCTCAGCGAGTATCCTACCTTGTTCTTCATGTGCCGCCAGAGTTTGGAGCATACCCCTAGTGCATGAAACAAGGAAGTATTTCAAGAGCGTACGTTGCTCAACTATGATTCATCAGATTTTTCTGTTTCTAGATGAGTGCCCTAACAGTGGCGAGGACAGCGACGAAGACGTAATCACAGATTATTTGGGATCAACTCATTCCGACTGCAGCAGAGTGCCAATCGGCACCGATCTCACAGGGCTTGATCCTCACCACACAGACAATCTGATTGATTCTGGCTACACCAAAGATACTACAAACATCATGTCGGAGTCCGTCGACGAGCAACATCATCGGCGACGCCAACAACATCCTCAAGAACTAGACTCCGTCGTCCAGAGTCAGCCCGTTCCATTTGTGCCAATTATCAGCGTCACCCCCCACTCACCAGGCTTGGCCAAGCCCTACCTGATACTGGGTAAGTTGCATACATGATAGCCTCGGGAACTAAGGACGATATTAACCCTTTGCACTCGAGCGACGCCGATTCGGTGCCCGGCCGAGTTGAAGTCGCAACTCGAGCGACGCTGCTACGACGCTATGGTCTTTTGTAATTCGATCTCATTATTTACGACGTGCGATGAAATACCTTTCTCGGAAGTACTTTCGTGGACTCGGCTCCGCTGTCATTGTGGCCAAATCTTACAACTTAGTTCAGTTAATCTCAGTGTAGCATTCGGTTGAAACAGTCTTCACAGCAAATCTAGCAATCTAAAAGTATTTGAGCCCTAAAAAATGGAGGAAGATCGCATCAGCTCAAGTTCGGACGAATTACTCGAGGTGGTGTCGATATCATGGTCAAGAAACCCAATGTGGTACTGAATTATATAAAATATATGGGTGGTGTTGATCTGGCGGACCAATATGCGTCAACATATTGCTTTTTGCGAAAATCGCTCAAATGGGGGCGTAAGCTTTTTTTTTTGGAGCATGGAAATTTGCCTCATCAATTCGTACATTTTGTACAAACAAGAAAAGATCAAGAAAGGGGAAAAGCCGCTGAGCCATCTGCGGTATGTCAAAACACTCGTGGAACAATTGAGAGGACCGTATCGCCAGCAACGACAGCAAGCATCTACGTCACATTCGGGTGAAATTCGACTTAACGGGAAGCTCCACATAATGCTAAAAGGGCCAAAAAGGGACTGCAAAGTTTTTTCTGACCGTAGCACGCCTGGAGGTAGGCGAGGAGTCACGTATTACTGCGATACGTGTCCTGAGAAACCTAGGATGCACCTAGGACACTGTTTTATAAAATATCACACCAAAACTAATTACAGAGTGTAATATGTAATAAAGTTTCTTGTTTTCAACATATAAATGAATAAACTTGTGAAATTTTATTACTTCGATACGCTTGTTTGCTTATAAATGCTTTTAAAGTACCTGTAAAAAGTATCCCTGATTTGGCCGAAACCGTCTCGAGTTGCTGGTTAGCGCAAGCGAAAAAGGCCTCGAGTGCAAAGGGTTAAAAGTGTCTCGTATTGCGTGAACGAGGAGAATCTTGTAGGTTGGACCAGAACCAGAAATTACCCATTAGACACAGTGCATAGCGTTCCCTTTTCACTCGAGATTCTTCGAATGGAAAAAAAATTAGGTTTTTTGTATATTATATTTTGCAGAGGATACAGTTCAGCATTTTCATGAACTCTATGACAGTGTCCAACGTATGAGGGACATTACCTTAAGTACTTTACCAAATAATAAAAGGGCAGAACAGAGGCTGATTTCATCCTGTCCATCCCTTCGTCATTTGATTGCCAACGAAGCTGGCACTAGATCCAGTGATCAGGACGGTGGCTCCGATCCCGATCTCCTGGCGAACTGCTCAACAAATAGCTCGCCTAGTCACTTTCCATCCGTAGGACATCCTCAAACTATTCAAGGGATTGATCGAAGACGGAGCTGGACCGATCTGGAGGATTCAAGATTAGGTCGTAGGTCTTCAGCTCAAAATCATCTCCAAGCACAGAATATGGTATACCACTTACTATGTTAAACTTGGTCCTAAGATCTTTATGATTCTTGCCATCCTTGTCATGTATCTCTAATGCTGTATAGCGGCAACGGAGTATCAGCCTGAGTAGCCTGGACAGTGAGATGGACCTGGAGCTGGACGGAAAGTCCCGCACAGGATCATCGAGTGTGGGAAACAGAGCGTGCAGGTCTCAGTCTAGTACGCATTCCTTGAACGAAGCTGACTTGGTGCAGGTACATTTTTTAAATTTGTCTCATACCGGCCGTTTATAGCTATGAAAATGTTGATATTCTCAGAATCCGTTTAATCAGGGTGATTTCAAAAAGATTGCCATAAAACGTGGCGGCCAACGGCTTGGGGAAGCCGTTGGTCTAATGCCGGGTGTCATTGGAGCTCGACTGCCCTTGCAAAAATCGATATCGACGCCGTCAATCGTGACTCCACCAGGACACGCGACTCACGCCGAATCAGCCATCAGAGCAGCACCATCGCTCACAGCGTAAGTGACTGCAGATTGTATATTTTGCTTTTTGAAAAGCCTTTTCTAGTCGTTTTTTTTTTAAACCTAGCTAGCTTTTTTTAATTTTTGTGCCCGTTATATTTCAACACGTATTTGTCATATAGACACAACATCTTTCATATTGAATTCGCCGTTTTTAGACTGTTAATGAATGCAGTCGAGACATTGCAAATAGAATGTTCAAAATTACAGAAAAAAGTTGTTCGATGAGATACTAAAACAGTAATAATAAATCGCATTAGTCTCACACTGCACTCATTGCACCTGCAAACATATGCATCGCGTGGCTTAGCGTACCATAGGCCAGTAGGTCTTTACGCTTTAGCATGGCTGAAAATTTTAATTGAGTTATTGAAGAGAAATCCAAATGGAAAGATACTATACAGCAGAGACAGAGAGAGAGAGAGAGAAAAAAACAGACACAGGCTGGGCGGTGCGGAAGGTCAGTTATAAAGTAACAAATTTTTACTACAAAGTACAAACACGTTAAAATAGAAAAAGAATTGATAAAAGAAAATACAGCAGTATTCCATTGGCAAAATTTCTCTTGTCTCAATAAAGAGATTAATAATATAAGAAATCGCACGGCAATCTAAAATACGACTCAAAAGCCTAAAGTTTCATTGATATTTTTCTTTCTACTCGCTTCTATTTATAATTATGAGATGCCCAGGCATACTTCATCTTCATGCTGCTTACCTGTGTATTCCTGGACTCTCAAAAAAAGAAAAAAAAAAAAAAAAGGCGACGACAGTCGCATATTAGTTTGTGTTTGCACTTGACCATTTGAACGCTAAAAAGCAGCCGGCACGAAAGAAACGAAAAGGGTAGTGGAAGCGAAACCGAAACCGAGGACCTCCATACTGCTCATGGGCACGATTATCACGAGGACCTTACACGAGAAGGAACGCCGAATGTCCAGACGTCCTTGGACGAGCTACTTAACGAGTAAGTAGTAATCGATGATGATCTCGAAACACGGATGGGGATGCTATATCGATTGGCCTCCCTCTTAATTATCCATATATCATTTCACTGTGAGCCCACTACTGCTAAATGCTATCACTGCTGTTTGAGTAACGGATAACGGTTTGTATATTCAAGGAAAGAAAGAGACTACGAAAGCTCCTAATTAGATGCATCTGTTTTTTTGCCTGCTTGTTTTTTTTTTTTTTTTTTTTCCAGTATCTTGTTCCCTTTTTCCTTCACTTATTGTATTTCCTACTGTATTTTCTTCTTGTCTTCTCCTTGACCTCTGTTTCTAATTGCCACCATCTCGCTTCGTCTGACCTTTCTTCCGGATGAGACTTTCATGGGCTGCTTTGGGTATCACCTGAAGATCAATGTCGTTACTAATTAATTAGTGTTCGAACGATTGCTTTGTTTCAGTGGTGTCGTTTACGATGATCATCACTCGGAGAAAACTAGAAGGAAGCGTGGCTCCTTATTCTTTCGCAAGAAAAAGGTATGCCTCGAGGGCAGCCTACGCAGTTAGGTTATACTGTACTATTGCTATGTATCTGAACATCCTCTGCAGGACTTAGGAATCTCAAATGGATTTCTTTCAGGACAAGAGTGGGAAGAAAGTTAGTCAACTACAAACTCATCAGTGGATAACTATAACAGGAAATCCTGGTAGTTACGTTTGCGATTTCTGCATGAAACATCTTGTCAACAAGCCGGTATTACATTGCGAAAGTAATTATCCACGATAGTAACAAATATCAATAACAATTATATGTTCTTGTACGTCTGATACCAAACTACCACTTGACTCGTTTACTATTCTCAGACTGCGGCGTCACTGCGCATCAGATTCAAAACTGCAAGGATCAGCTGAGCCTAGAGTGTACCAAGAGCAAGCACCACTCTAATAAGGCTTCATCCAAGTCGATGTCGAGCGTCTCTAGTATTTCCGTTAGTGTGAATATGAAAAGAGGATCCACCTCGTCGTTACCCTTGCCATCATCAACGGGTAGTGGAAGGTGAGCCGATAGAAAAGAAACAAGAGTGTTTTCAGAAAGTTGCATCGAAACCTTGGTCTCTATGGTCTAATAAGAATCGCACGTGCCGGCATGGCTAGTGACAATTTCGATATCCCTCAGCCAAAAGATCACGGAAACGTTGCATATAACTGTGAAGCAAAATTGAAAAGTAACTTGGGATCTCGAGAATGGCACCTGGGCCTCGAAGCTTTATTTCCGATTGAGTTTGCAAGTTAGCCATTTTATCAACATATAGTGGCAGGCCTCGCATTCTCCACCCTCACGTGTTTACGCCGTAGACTGAAAACAGAGAAAGGTAGTCAAGCAAATGGTTCATTGAACGCGTGTCCTCTCGCTCTCTCTCTCTCTCTCTCTCTCTCTCTCTCTCTCACACTGACACACACACACTAATTCACTCAAAAACAGTTTTCAGAGTCATAGAAAGAAAAAAAGGACAATGAAAAACTGAAAATAGATAGTCAAAATTATAACTAACTTCCTCGTGTTTTATAAATAAATCTGGATTAAAGTTAGAAATATAAAAGGCAAAAGCCAGCAAGCTAAGTTGTGTAGAAAAAAGTATACAGGTGCATATAATTGATAATTTGTCAGCAGTATGAGAAAAAGTGGGAGGATTATTCGCAGTATATTTATTTGCTAGACGAAAGACGGAGAGAGTAGATTTTAACAAACACAGGATTAACTGGGGCTTGAGAGGGATAATAATGAGAATGAAAGGTGGAAAAATGTTTGATCTGATGGGACAGGAAAACGGCGTGAGACGCGAAGTGAAGTTGCGCTAATGCAGTGTGTGCTTTTTCCTTCCCTCGTGCATTCCCTCTCGTGCAACCGCAACATACCGATTGATCGTGTTCTCGACGATTAAAGGGAAATTAACAGCAAGAAAGCCGTCACGAGCTACAGTCCTTGGCGGCGAGTCGCCACCAAGCTCGGAGTCAAGTAAGTCTCTGATATCTGATGTGTCTCCTACGTATCCTTCCTGTCGATGCGGTTCGCAATCTTTCTGTTAAATGTATTTTATCTGTCTACCCGACTACCTATCCAACCACTTTTCTATCACTTATCTCTCAATCAACATTATCCATCAGGATAATGTTCTCGATGCTAATATGTACATACATCTCGTACACAAAGATACACGCAGACTTATAGAAACTTAAACCAAAAATTTAATTACCAACAGCATATCGATACAGAGATAAGTACATAAAGATTGCCTTCTTAAAAATCACAGAGGAACTTGCGAATTTTAAAGGCAAGTGAAAATGTGGATACGAGGAATGAAAGACGAACAAGAGAAAGGAATGGAAACGAAAGATTTCGTTAAATCTTCGTCGCAGCGTCATGTGCAGATTAATAATGATAATGACGTTAATAAAAACATTAGAAGCATTAACAATGTTCAGTTGATAACTGGTGTAGTATCTTGTCAACACAGACACGTGCCACGTGCCACGTGCCACGAGCCACGAGCCACGAATCGACTACCATGCCACGTCAATTCCCCTGCATGTGCTTCTAATCCGCTTGCTTCTACGGAACTTTCTTGAATCTCTATTTTTCCTTCTCTGTGCGTATATGTACATGTATCGTTTTGACGCTCACCTTTTGATTCATAGTTTCGCAAAAATAATTTCTTTTGACTCATCCTCATCGATATTCTAGCAAGAAGTTGCGACCCGTTTCATCCACTGCAGAACCCAAGTGAATATTCAGTTTCCCCAGCCGTCTATGTGTCACGAGTCACGAGTTTTCAAGTAATCTCTCTTTAGACGGAGCCTCTTCGATCTTCAGCCATATACATACATATACTGTGTAAAAGCGATTGCCCCTCATAAATGTTCTCTATCGCGTAATTTGGGAATGTTAATCATACTAACCGAAGCCACTTACGCTTGGACCTATTGACAACAACTGTTATGCCTCTCCGTCACAGTATAAATTAAATATTTTGTGGTTTCTCCGTTTAAGCGACTCGGTGTACGACACAACACGACTCCTAGCCGTTCGTCGGTTCTTATGGGAGATTTTCGAAATGGTCCATGACGTGACTTTGTATCTCGTTGTGCCACAACTCGCTCAAGCTGGGAAGCAAGATCATTTACATGGAGTTCTCCTTAGCTCTCCTGACAGTCTAGCGAATATCTTGGCTTCCTTCCCTCCTGTGTCTCAATTTTCCATATTTCAGATGTAAACTCTTTAACTCTTAATTGCGATAGGTATCACGCATCCTGGAGTATCCAAATGAGGAAATCCGAGTAGCATTACTGATTCGCTCATGGCGGACTGTACACGAAAATAGTTGTACAATCGTTTCGCCATTGGATCTCAAAGTAATGTGTATCTATGAAAATGTTAATCTGAGATACTTTGTTCACAGCCAAACTATTAACGAGGAGAAAGATGGGGACGCCAATCAGCACCGGGATATTTCGGGGTAATTAAGAACATCTACTCTTTATATATATATATTGTTGCTTCTTTTTCGTTGATACCTAATAGAGATTAGTTGTTCCGTTGGCATTATTAGGGGTTGGGAAGAATTTGACTTTGGTGACGAGTCGCACCAATTCACCATAGTCGACCTGGAGGGTCTAGATCCTGAATTGGGTCTAGGTAGAGAGGAGCCTGATTCCTGGAGCGCCGCAATAGGTAGAAACATCGCCCTGAGACTCGTCGACAACTGCGAACGCGAGGTGAAGCGTCAGGAACATATATACGAGTTTGTTCTTACCGAGAAACACCACTGCTTGGTACTGCTTGCCATGGATAGGATATTCGTGGAGGGCCTTCGTAAGCATTTCCGTCTGGGTCCACCTGATCTGGAGCGCATGTTCCCCAGACTGCGCGATTTGACGAATATTCATCTACGATTTCTCCTGAAGCTGAGACGACGTCAGAGCGCAAGCGCAGTAGTGCCAAGTATATCTGATATACTTGTAGATCAGTTCTCCGGTGAGAATTCATTGCGCATGAAAAGCGCATATGGGGAGTTTTGCAGTAGACATAGGGACGCAGTTGATGCTTACAAGTACTATCTAAGACATGATCCCAGGTTTGCACGATTCGTGAGCCACTGCCAGGTACGATTTACGATTTACTTGCAATATTGATTAATTGAGATTTTTGACAAGCGATTATCTAATATATACAATGGTTATATCTGTGCAGACCAATCCTCTGCTTAAGAAGAAAGGCATTCCGGAGTGTATTCTTTTTGTTACTCAACGTCTCACAAAATATCCTTTGCTCGTGGAACCACTGATCAAAACTGGCTTATCCACGGAAGAGGGTGAGAGTTTGCGTAAGGCTCTTGCACTTGTCAAGGAGATCCTGGGCGACGTGGACGCCTGCGTCGCCAACAAAGAGCGCGAAGATAGGAAATTAGAAATTTATAATAGGTACGTCATAGTTATTTCGAGCATTTTTCGTAATTTTTTTGTTTTAATTCAGAAAACCAGCGACACTGATTCCTACTGTTTCTTATGAAGGATTGACGCGAAATCTTTTGCGACTTATCGCGACGCAAAGTTCAAGAAATCGGACATAATGGGCAGCAACAGGCACCTCAAATTTGAGGGTACCGCTTGTTTGATGCAAGGACGCGGGAAAATGGCATCCGTCGTGGTAGTCGTCCTGACCGACGTTCTCTTTTTTCTGGTCGAGACAAAGGACCAAAAATACGCTTTCTTCGCTCCCGACAACAAAGCTGGCGTGGTATCGCTGCAGAAGCTCCTGGTGAGGGAAAAGGCTGGACAAGAATCTCGTGGAATTTACTTGATAAGCAGCAATCCCGCGGAGCCAGAGATGTTTGAACTAAAGATTCAGAAGCCGAAGGATAAGCATCTCTGGATTCAGGCCATCAGATCTGCCGTTGAGGCCTGTCCCCAGGATACGGATAATCCCAACAGCTCCGAATTACGTGACAATAGGTCCTCTTCAATTTCCATGCTTTCTGTTGAGGAGAGGCAGCGCATTGCCGAAGCCAAGCAGTCACATATTCTCAGCATAGTCGGTATGTCCCCCTTTTATTTATCCGTTTCTTCCAAAAGCGCTCGTCAAAACGTTGAAACGAAAACTCGACTTTCTAATTTGGTAGATGAGTTACGGAAGAAAGATACCGAGCAAGCCCTCCTATTGGAGGAGAGAATGGGTCTCCAGTTGAGACTACTTTATACCGCTAGCTTCTGGAGTGGAAATGAAAGTGAATCGGAGAAGGCGGAAAAGGCTGACAAGGCACTTCCGAATTACACCCGATTGGTGCGCAACGAGGGCATTGATTCGGCTCAACTTTGGCAGGAGGTTTCTTATCACTTTATTTTTCATTATTAAATGGATGAGAATATAAATTTAATAAGCTGAAATCATTCGTTCCGGTCGCTCTATGATTTCTTCTATACGATATTTCAGGTTGTAGTGGCTGTTCAGGAAGCCACGAAATTAGCCAGTTCCTTGTCGTATACTACAGGTGGCGCTACCCTATCAAGAAGCTTGAGTTCCGCGGGAGAACGTCACAGCGAAGCCTACGTCGCGCCAACTTTATGCGTTCCACGTAGAGCAGAAACATTTGCCGGCTTTGATCACAACAAGGTACATTTCTGATAAGAGCCTCAAGTACATAATTTCAATTATTCTATTCAATTATTAAACGCAGGAACGATATCCCTGGCGAGATTCAAAAATTGTAAATACAATAGTACCGCTACCAAAGATAAGAGAAGTGATACCAGAAGAAGGTATTAAGGAAGAGGTTGGACCGGAAATTAATACAGATCAGCAGTTAGCAGCTATACGTTTGTCCCATTATGTCTATACGCTATTGTGCATAATCAGTAACCAGATGACAACGATTGATAGCCTACAAGCTCAATTGGCAGTTTGCAAGGAGGGCAGCACGAACACGACCAAGACTTCGGGAAGTCGACCAAATCCAAATCGACAACTGGAGGAATTACGCAATCTTCAAGATCAACTCAGCCGTGAGAAAGCTGCCTTCAGAGCAACAACTCAGCAAGAACGTACTCAATTGGACGAAGAACGTGCTGAGCTTTCCAGACGCCGAGAACAATTGGCTGCTGAACAACGCGATGTTGCACAACAGCGTGATCAATTGTTTAGGCGTTTGGAGGCTCTTGAACGTCAAGGGGTTTCTCTATTGCCTCCATCTACAGCAGGTCCGGCACCAGTGCATATTTCTCACGCCATTCAGGACACCGCGCAGTCCAGAAAGACCCAGGCAGAGGGCAAGCGTATTCCAATGAATTTGATTAGTGCCACTAATCAACAGAAAGTTCAAAGCAGTTTGCCACCTATCAAGCAGCAACTGCCGCTAAAACTGGCTAGCGGTAGCAATAACAGTAACAGCAGGTAAAGTAAAAACATATATTTGCTTTGTCTACTTTTCTCCTTGTTACTAATCGTGCTCTGGGTAGTATAAAATCTTATAACAATAGTTGCCAAAGAATTTTACTCAGAAATACCAAAAAGAGTAAACGCTAACAGGAGAAATTAAAAACAGCACATGCTAAATACTTTTTAATAATGCACGATAAACAGAAGCAACTCTGCAAGCAACAATAGTCCGGATCGTCACTCAAGAACCGAAAGTAGTCCAGCCACAGCGACGAGCTCAATATTCTCATCATCGGATTTTGGAAACTACCAGAGCCACAACAGCCAAACTCATCCGCCTAATAAATCACTAAGGATCTCACGATCACCATCTCATCATCAACGTCACCACCAGCAACAGCAACAACTCGCTCAACTGCAGCAACAACAGCAGCACCAGCACCAGCACCAGCAACAGCAACAACAGCAGCAGCAGCAGCCGCCCCAAGAGGAAGAGGTGATATTCTTCTGACGTTTTTTCTATCGATTCGGTCGCAAATACTCCCGTCCTTCGCGTTCAACAGCGTCGTCAACGCCGACAACAACGCCGTCTACATCGCCGTCTACATCGCGTAGCCAATCGCGTGAATCTCAACGCCGAAACCGTGTCAAGTCATTCTGACTCTGGACTTGCTGCCAGCAGAGGAAGCAGTGAGAAGGTCGATGAGGCGGTAGAGGAGAAAAGATAGAATTAGGAGAAAGAGAGAGAGAGAGAGAGAAAGAGAGAGGGGGGGGATAAATAATGCCAGAAGTTCCAATTTCGAATCATTCCAACCCTAACTGATATACCTATAGAGTGTGTATAATACGTGTATATTTCCTTCGATATACTGTGACCCTCTTCTTCGGTGTAGAAATGCACTCAAAATAAGTGTTATACTGTAATTGTCACTAGGTCCAATGCGATTTGAGCGCGTTAAGCATATAGGCAACAACGAGATGAAGGTGTAACCGAGAGGAAAAATATGTAAATTAACAATGTCGCAATTCAACTGCGAAATTAGACGACAATAGTTGCCAATCGTATGGCAATAATTCTTGAGGTCTCTTTTGCTCTTGCTTGGATGATCTATTGACAATATGAGCAAGAAATGATGTCAATATGACAATTACCATAAAAGAGAAGGAGTCGAAGAAACCTTAGGATATGAATGAGAATATTTTTAGCCAATCAGGAGTATCAGACAGGAGTATCGTGTTCCGTGTCAGATGACGAATACTCTTCCATAAATAAAAAGTAAAAAAACAATAAGGCGATTGATTGTAAGGCGGGTGGAAATAGAGAAGCAAAAAGAAATTCTATTAGTGAAGTATTTAAACGGTAAACGGCTTGTTGCGAGTTGTATACACGATAACAGTTAGAGAGAGAGATAGAGGGGGGGGGGGAAGAAAGAG